AGGCAAGTTGGTATCATTGGTATCAACGTTTCGAAATTTAGACTTGCAAGTTGACCCACCTTGAAAAATTGATAATAATATGGAAAAACTTAAATCAATTCACGAAAGTTTATTAAATTTTACTTACTTTAATGTTTCTGAACCTATGTGGGGGGAGAATAGGGAGTTGTGTAACACCTTAATATTTGTCAAATGGTAATTATTGTAATAGGTTTCAACTATTGTTAACTTTTTTTAATTAAAATCTAACATTTGTACTAGTACTCGTCACTCAAACAAGCATTTATATTGCTGTATTTCGTATATTTGCACAAAGTTTTTGAAGGTATTCAAAAAGATTAGTATACCAAAATAATTAGAAGTAATAACCTTTTGATATAGGGGAGAGTGGGGCAAACCGGCCATACTGACGGTTTTTTTACCCTTGTGACTAAATGAATCAACCGATTTTATTTTTCGATGACTTATTTGAAAGATCATTTAATTACTCAACTTTTTCCCACTAACACCTATACCTATACTATACGTTTTATTTTTTAATTGCTGTGTTAAATTAAAAAAATTTTGAAAACTGTCCGGTTTGCGCCACCCCCTGGGATGAACCGGTCAGTTGGGTTTTTTTGTCTATAATATTGCATTTATATAATTTACAATAACAACAAACATAAATAATCATGTAAACAATGGTTGTAACAATGTAAATATAATAATACAGTATTGAATTTTAATGAAATAAATAATTTTTTTAGTAAAAAAAATGTTTGAAATTATCAGGAAAACAATATTAAAGGGTCTAACTTTCATTAAAAGAGAATTATTTTTCATTAAAAGTAAATATTTTTGGAAAAAACATTCTAATTAATAATAATTTTCGTGAAACTTTGATACAATGAAAATATCCTATGACCGGTTTGCCCCACAGGCCAATTTTGAGAATTAATATTTGTTTAAAAAAACGCTTTGCAAATTCATCAAAGTTTTAGGTGGTAGGGGAGACTAGATGCGGTTGTTATGCAGTTGTTATAAATGGAATATCTCAGAAACAGATATGTTATAGAGATCGGGTTCCAAAGAGAAAAATGTTTAGTTTTTATGTACGAACTTACTGCAATATGGTTAAAAATTATATTTCCGTAAAAAAAAAATAAATTTCCGGAAATTTTCCGGAAGATTTCCGTACAAAAAAAATAAATTTCCGGAAATTTTCCGGAAGATTTCCGGATGATTTCCGTAAAAAAAAAATAAATTTCCGGAAGTTTTCCGGAAGATTTCCGTAAAAAAAAAATAAATTTCCGGAAATTTTCCGGAAGATTTCCGTACAAAAAAAATAAATTTCCGGAAATTTTCCGGAAGATTTCCGGAAGATTTCCGTAAAAAAAAATAAATTTCCGGAAATTTTCCGGATGATTTCCGTAAAAAAAAAATAAATTTCCGGAAGTTTTCCGGAAGATTTCCGTAAAAAAAAATAAATTTCCGGAAATTTTCCGGAAGATTTCCGTACAAAAAAAATAAATTTCCGGAAGATTTCCGGAAGATTTCCGGATGATTTCCGTAAAAAAAAAATAAATTTCCGGAAGTTTTCCGGAAGATTTCCGTAAAAAAAAATAAATTTCCGGAAGATTTCCGGATGATTTCCGGATGATTTCCGTAAAAAAAAATAAATTTCCGGAAGTTTTCCGGAAGATTTCCGTAAAAAAAAAATAAATTTCCGGAAATTTTCCGGAAGATTTCCGTACAAAAAAAATAAATTTCCGGAAATTTTCCGGAAGATTTCCGGAAGATTTCCGTACAAAAAAAATAAATTTCCGGAAATTTTCCGGAAGATTTCCGGAAGATTTCCGTACAAAAAAAATAAATTTCCGAAAATTTTCCGGAAGATTTCCGGAAGATTTCCGTACAAAAAAAATAAATTTCCGGAAAATTTCCGAATAATTTCTGAAAAAAAAAAATTTCCGGAAAATTTCCGGAAGTTTTCCGGAAAACTTCCGGAAGCCTCTTCCGGAAAGTTTCCGGAAGTTTTCCGGAAAACTTCCGGAAACCCTTCCAGCTGGGCTTATTTTAACGTTGTCTGGAAATTCTTCCATCTTAGAATCTCAATTTTTTCCACCAATAGAGTTGTCTAATTTTAAAAATTATGCTCTTGGTCTTGTTGAATTTTTAACTTTTAATTCTATTCCTAATATAGATGTTGGAAAGAATAAATTTTACGTAGGAAATGAAGAAATTATTATACCCACAGGAAGTTATGAAGTTAGTGATATTGATCAAGTTTTGCATTTAATTTTAAAAAATAAAGGAATTAATTTTAGAATCAAACCAAACAATAATACATTGAAATGTACAGTTTATTGTGATGAAGAAATTAATTTTAAACCCAATGATTCTATAGGTAGTTTGTTAGGATTTTCTCCTCGCAAATTAAAAGCTCAAGAATACCATGAGTCTGATCAACCAGTATCAATCATTAAAATAAATTCCTTAAGAGTAGAATGTAATATAACAACCGGAGCATACATTAATGGTGAAAAAGTGCATACAATTCATGAATTTTTTCCTATTGTTCCACCAGGATATAAAATAGTGGAAGTACCAAATCACGTCATTTACTTGCCAGTCGCTGTCAAGACAATAGACTATATTCAATTGCGAATTGTAGACCAAGACGGAAATTTAGTTAATTTTCGAGGGGAAACTTTAACAATAAGGCTTCATATTAAATCCTTAAAATAATGGGTATTGTTTTTAATAATAGAAAAAGGATTGGTTTTGGTTATAAAATTAAGACACCATGTCAGAATCAAATCAGTCGTCGGCAAATCTTGAAGAGATTAACACCTCAGAACCTGCAACTACTGAAAAATCTTGGTCTAAAGATTGTAAAAAAAGGAAGAGAGTAAAAAAGAGATTTAAGGTTATTTTTACTTGTATTTGTGCCTTTGTATTTCAACGTATTATTTTTTGCTATGGAAGGGGAAATTTTAAATATTGATTCACCAGTAATTTTTGATGAATCTATTGCTCATTATGAAGTTCATGCGCAACAACCATACACCTCATCAACATACAACAATAGTGACGAAATCCGCATCACGGTACAGAATCAGGATCATTGCTTATTTCCAAGCAAAAGCTCGATTCACATCACTGGAAAACTTGTGAAACCTGATGGAACAGCTCTAGAACGTACAAATTTAATTTCTAATGGCATATGTCATTTATTTGAAGAAGCAAAGTATGAACTTAATGGTGTAGAAATTGATAAAAATAAAAATGTAGGTCTTACAAGTTTAATGAAAAATTATATTTCTCTCGATTCTAGTCAAAATAAATTTCTTGAAAATGTTGGCTGGTTAGAATTTACCAATGAACCAACCTTAACAAATGCGCAAGGTTATTTTGATGTATGTATTCCTCTGAGTATGATTTTTGGTTTTGCTGAAGATTACCAAAAAGTTATTATTAACGCAAAACATGAGCTTATTTTAATCAGATCAAGAACTGATGCTAACGCAGTGTTGCAAGTAGCACCTTTAGAAGAGTTTAAAATTGTCATTGAAAAAATTGAATGGTTATTACCGTACATAAAATTATCAGATGCTCGAAAATTTAAATTATTAAAATATATTAAAAAAGATCCATCTATTCCAATAAGTTTTAGAACTTGGAAATTGTATGAATATCCTTTATTACCAATTACTCCTAAGCACATTTGGAGTGTAAAAACATCAAGTCAATTAGAGAAACCTAGATTTATTGTATTAGGGTTTCAGAGAAACAGTTTTCTGTTTTCTGTTTTTTTTGGTGTTTTTTTTAATAATACAGTTCAAAACTCTAGTTTTTTTGATCATTGTGATTTATCTGATGTCAAATTATTTTTAAATTCACAATGTTATCCTTATGGCAACATGAATCTGAATATTGGTAGAAATCAGTACTCTACTTTATATGAAATGTTTACAAATTTTCAAGCATCTTATTATAGTAAAGAGTCTCAACCAATTTTATCAAAAAAAGAATTTTTACAATATGCTCCTTTAGTTGTAGTAGATTGTTCAAAACAAAATGAGTCTTTAAAAAGTGGACCAGTTGATATCCGCTTAGAATTTGAATCAAAAGAAAATTTTCCTGCCAATACTTCAGCTTATTGCTTAGTTTTGCATGACCGCATCATTGAATATAAACCAATCAGTGGAATTGTCAAAAAAATTGTTTAACTTTAAGCTTATATATATTTAACTCTTTACGCGTAATGAGATTAGTTGATTTAAAAATGCAGTACTTGATAGATGTGCAAGGATTCAAAAGTTATCATGGGAACAACATTTTGTGTCTACAGACAGACAGACAGACACCATCGCCAAACCATGTTTTTTGGGTTCAGGGGACTCCAAAACGTAAAGATTTCATAAAATTAGCAAAAGTCAAAATTTGCATAAAACTAATACCTTCTTACATGATGAGAATGTAATAAAAATTACTTTTTTTGAAAATAACTCGAAAAGTATAGGGTTTGGCGAATTGGTGTCTACAGCAAAGCTGTAGCTGAGAATAAGACGAGAAAAAAAGTCTCTAGTAGCAAGTTTCCATATGAAATAGATTCGGAGATAATTGAGTCAGAATATCGATTTTTTGCACAAAAAAATAATAAAATATATATATATATATATATATATATTGTGACCCAATAAATTGGAAATGCAAATAATATTATACTTTCACTAATTATCGAATTATGAATGGGCCTGAATTTAAAAAAATTCAACTTGATAGAACTATTAAGTTACTAGCAAACTACTCTTACTATCAAGTACAATGATGACGCTTAAATTTGCTTAATTTTAAATTATCAACTGTAAATTAGTCTACTCAAATTTTATAAACAATAATGCTCAGTTGAGCGCCAGTTATTTTAATTTTATAAGTTACTTAAAATAACAAAAGTAATTTTCTTTTAATCTTCCAAATACTAATTTTGAGACTCGATTGAAAAAAAGGGGGGAGGAGGCGGTGGGTTGAATTTCACTGAGACTAGTAATTCAAAATAACGTTTTCAATTTATTAAATCAATAGAAAAATAACCATTCGACTTACCGATTAATTCGGTTAAATGATAATGTCGGCGACAATCAATAATAACGACTCCTTTACAATGTTTCAAATCAGTCGTACAGTTCCCAAAAATGGTCTCTCACTTTGGAAAATTGTCGTCACACCACTCTTTCACACTTGCCTTTAACACCGGCGATTCAACTTATTTTCAATTAAACTTCTACAGTCTTACACAAATAGCGTTTCTCGTATATAAACTTAACAGTTCTCTTCGATTTAAAGTAATCATTATACGCAACTAATCCAATCACATCAAGAAAACCTTTATCTCTTTTCACACTCAGAACTTTTCTCGGTCTGTCGCCATGTGCTCTCTGTGTAAAAACCGGCGTCTATTGCCTGGTAGCGCGCGCTAACCTTCTTTTTCTCTCACTCACACGTGCTTTCTCTCCTTCTCTCCGTCACTCCCACGGTACAGTGAACTACTTATGAACCGATTACTACGCCACCAAGAAATAGTCCGTCCAAAACAAAGCTTAATTTGTCGAGAATAATCATTGTACGAGAAAATATTACAATAAAAATTCGTAAATAATAAATGATAATAACAAAATAACAAATTATTAATTATAATAATTTTGATACCAAAATAATAAGTTTAATTAATTCTAATTATGAGAACGTAGTCTCAGGTGCGTAATTAGGGAGAAAAGTATAGTGACAAATAAAATAAAATAAACTTGTTTTTGTGGCAATCCACATTGTCACAATTCTCCGTTCCTTACACGTTACTATCAGTAGTAACGCAACAACAAAAATTGAACTCACTCAGATACTTCTTTTCAAACAAAATTAAACAATAAAAATAAAAAAATTAATACACCTTTTTTTTTTCTTACACTCACATCACTTATAGTCTGTTTACTGCAATCGTCCACCGTCTGATTTCCGGCGTTCCTCGTAGAATTCCTTCATGGCCAAGGTCACAGCTTCTGCTGGTAATCCAGCCAAAGCTTGGGCCATTGCTCTGGTCTGCTCGATGAACCTGTCCGTGTTGTCCATCATCGGTGGTGCTGGCGGTAATGCTAAGGGTGGAGTGCTTTGATATACGATCGGTGGTGATATCGCTGGTTCTAGTATCGTCCAGTTCGGTGGAGGAACCGTGACATCACAAACTGCTAAAGGTAGTGTGCTCTGATATACAATCGGTGGTGATATCGCTGGTTCTGGTATCGTCCAGTTCGGTGGAGGAACCGTGACATCACCAACTGCTAAGGGCTTCGTTGATTTGTAAGTTGGTGCCTGCTGTATCATCTCCCAAATTTCATCAACACTCAGTGTTGATTCAACAGTAATTTCCTTTCTCTCGCTGGTTGTTGGTGTGGTGACTACAGATGGTCCAGGCCTCATTGCTTCTATCGTTTCCGAAACTCGACGTCCGCGACCTCGCCCTATTGAACATAACTTGACGGTATTCTGATTCTCCTTAGATTCCGAAGCTACTCCACTCGCTGATGCTTGGTTGTTTTGTTTTTGTTCAGCCTCCAGACGTAATTTCTCTTCTACGCTTATCTTTCCTGAATTTGCCATAATTCCTTTAGTCTTTTTAATCCTCTCCGATCGAAAGTACTGATATTTTTCTCGGCCGTATTTCATCATCATGTCCCTTTTATGTCGATCAGAGCAACGAGGGCAATCGGTCATCGTGACGCCACGTCTTCCGCAGTTCCTACAGTAGCCATACTGTGGATTTGGGCAATCATTACGCCTATGTCCAAATTGCCAACAACTTATACAGGATCCAGGTGGGGGGTCCAATTCCGGGTCGGTGGGAATCAATTTTAGTCCTCCGAACAACACTCCGCGTGTGATCACAGGAAGAACGTTCCTTCCTTGCTCAAGGCTGGCAATCTCTATTACTGGCTCCGCGATTCTGCTGGTAGGTGGTCCTGGAGGGGTGATTGATCGTTCCGGCGATGGTGTTTTGTTTCGAGAAACGTAGTTTTCCGGAAACATAATATTCGTGCGGATAGCACGGATAGCCTTTATTTGTTCGTCCTTCAATCTCTGCTTTTCGCGCGAAGTCGACGGCAATTCTCCTCTAAAATAGCGATCCAATTCTTCTACAGCGAGTCGGCTTTCCCATTCCTGCTCACTTTCTCCTAACTTGCGCTCAGTTCTCCATGCTTCATCATTGTCTCGCTTTCTTGCAGAACCTCTGCCCGCTGATGATACTGCTGCCATATCCTTGGTGTGTCTCACGCTTATTGGAGCTGGTGATTGGGCATCTTCCCAAGAGATCAAATCGTGATCATCTTCGCTCTGGGTAATGTTAGAATTAGAATCTACATTGGCTGTTGCGCTGGGATCGTGCAAAAATTTACTAAAACCTCGTCCTCTTGATGACATCCTTCTAAATGATTAGTCTCTTCTTACTCTTAATCTCTTTTTCTCGGAACGCTGGTATATGAGTCTTTATTATCGGTGAAACTGAAACAAAATTGATCAAAATAACAATTAATTATTAACCGTTCGCGGCAAAATATAACGTTTAAGTTCTGAAACGTGCACCTTCGAAATTCGGCGACTATTTTGCGTACTCAATACGTAAACCGAGGGGGATAATATTTTCACGATTTTGAATGGACCTTCAAATTTGGGTGCTAACTTACACGCAAATTTGTGTGCACCGCTGGATAATTTATGGGTTTTCCAGAGTACCTGATCTCCAATATTAAATGTGACAATTTTACGCCCACGATTATAATATTTTGCTTGTTTGCTTCTCTCCTGACCGATAATTCTCGCTACCATGTCTCTGAGTCCATCCAATCTTTTCATTCTCTCGGACCACATCTCAGGATCAATTCTCGTCACGGACTTCGGATTTTCAACAGTGCGTCTAAGACTTTTCACAGGTTTAGGGTGACGTCCATAATTAAGAAACGCTGGTGATACTTTTGTCGTTGATTGAGTTGCGGTATTTATAGCATGCCTCAATTCATGCAAGTGCTTGTCCCAATTTCGGTGGTCATCATCGAGATATGTTGAGATCATTGTCTTCAAAGTCCTATTTGACCTTTCTACCGGATTTGCCTGGGGGTGATACGGTGGTGTAGTTATATGTTTAACCCCATACTCCTCCAGAACTCCTTTCAGATCCTTATTAACAAATTCTCTTCCGTTATCGGTCAAAAGAAACTCTGGCGTTTCCCAACGAAACAACACAAGTTCCTCGAATGCTCTAGACACTGCTTTACCGTTGGCTGAACGCAGGGGCTTAATTTCAACCCAACGGGAAAATAAATCCTGGAAGACCACGAGATATTTATACTGACTTTTACTCCCTGGGAATTCCATTGTATCGGCAGCCACAACAGACCATGGCCTTTCTACGATACGCTCGCCCATTAATCCTTTTGGTCCTTGTTGTGACACCTTATGAAATTGGCAATCCGGACACTCAGTCACGTAAGTATGAACATCGTGCCAGATTCCTTGCCAATAATATTCCCGGGCCACTCGATCATAGGTCTTTTCCACTCCAAGATGACCTGCGGACACTTCAGCATGTGAATTTTTAAGTAATTCTTCACGATGTTCCACAGGTACAACTAATTTCCAGCCATCTTCGTTTCCTACTATTGGCATTAAGAGTGGGTCACTTCTGAATCGATACAATATTTCATTTTCAACTTTCCATCCTGGGAAACGCTGGGGAAAATTTCTGACTAAATCTCGACGCTTAATATACCAAGGATCTTCGACACTTTCAAACGCAGCTAATTCTTGATCTTCTGGTTCAAGAATTCGGGACAACGCATCCGGAACTTGATGTTGAGAGCCCTTCTTATGAACCACTTCGAAGTCCCATTGTTGGAGTTCTAATGCCCAGCGAGCAAGACGTCCGGTTGGATCCTTCAAATTATTCAGCCATTTCAATGCACTATGATCCGTGACTGCAATAAATTTTGATCCTTCGAGATATGGTCGGAATTTTTCCTTAACACTCCAAATCAACGCTAGGCACTCCTTTTCAGTGACGCTGTAATTCTTTTCTGCATCGGTCAGTACTCGGCTAACATAAACAATCGGGTGCTCACCAGTTTCATTTTGTTGTGTAAGTACTGCACCGATAGCTACATTACTTGCATCACATTGCACTGAAAAGGGTTTACTAAAATCAGGGCGCGCTAATACCGGTGCTTGAGTCAGAGCAATCTTAAGTTGTTCAAACGACTTTTGTTGCTCGTTTCCCCACTGCCAAGGCTGGTTCTTTTTTAAGAGTTTCAGCAACGGTATTTTCATTTCACTGTCGTTCTCGATAAATTTAGAGTACCATCCTACCATCCCAAGAAATCTTCTTAGTTGTTTCAAATTCTTAGGCGCTGGGTACTCTAGGACTGGTGCTATTTTCTCCGGATCAGTTCTGAGGCCATTTTGGTCAAGAACATATCCCAAGTATGATACGCTGGAACATCCGAATTCGCACTTGTCCGGATTCACTTCTAGACCTGCCTGCGCTAGTTTCGTTAACACTAATCGTAACCAGTGAAGATGTTCGTCGAATTCTTCACTAATTATAATTATGTCATCTAAATATCCGAAAATGTGGGGTTCATACTCAGGGCCGAACATAGAATCTATTAAACGCTGGAAAGTTTTCGGCGCGTTGGTAAGACCAAAAGGCATACGCTTGAATTGAAATAATCCAAGACCAGGAATCGAAAATGCTGTATACTTTTTGCTTTCCGGTGCCATTGGTACTTGATGGTATGCTAATTTAAGGTCTATTTTAGAAATGTAACGCGCTTTTCGGAGCTTATCCAAAATAGAATCTACGCTGGGTATCGGATAAGCATCACTTATAGTGATTTTATTTACATCCCTATAGTCGAAGCATAAACGTAACTTTCCCGTATGATTTTTAACGACAACTGGTGCACTGTTATACTGGCTGGCAGATCTCTCTATAATACCCTTTTTTAGAAGATTCTTTATTTCCTCAATAAGCCACAGTAAAATCGCTGGGGCCATTCTTCTTGGACGGTGTTTGATTGGTGTTGAATCCACGACTGATATGTGATGTTCCGTGAGAGTTGTCATCCCATGTTCTTCAGACGGTGGTATTACTAATTCTTTAACCAATGATTGCACTTCACTACGCTGGTCATCAGTCATCACTGAAATTCCGGCGCATTCCGCAAAAATAGTGGCCTCCTCTTTCTCGTTGATACTTTCGGCGAATCTGTGCCATTCCTTGCCGTTGATTCGCCACAATCCTTTACCCAACTGCACATCCATATCAAGGGCTCGGCAAAAATCTACTCCTAAAATCATATCTTGAGTTAAGGAACTTATTGCCCTTAATTCAAATGATTGGGAAATATCGTCCACAGTTAGCCACAATCTTAATTTCCCAAGAGTATTTGTCGAACCGCCGATGGCACTTTGAATCATCGTTGTTGTTGATTCAAGTCTTGATTTGAATTTCTCTGCAATTTTTGGCCCCACTACTGAGATCATTGCCCCAGGATCAAATAACGCTAGGTATGGTTGATCAGCAACAAATATTTTAATAAAATATCTGTTTTCAGTACGCGTGCCATCTATCGCTTCGTCATCGGTAGTAGGATTAACGGTGGGTTCAGCTGCACCCTTTGCAGCTTCTCCCCCCCCTTTGACTACATCATCCTTTTCATTTTCTACAATGATAGATGTGTCAGTCACAGGAACAGAATCACTCGCTTTATCTGGCACAGTTTCAGGGAGAAAAAATTTTTGTCCCCATCGCTGGTTAATATTTTCAGAATTTTCGAAAATTTTCTGAATTTTTCCAGATGATTTCTTACGATGACTTTTATTTTCACTCGAAAATTTAACTCGTTTTTCTTTCGCAATAGCCCCTTTACTAGTATCACGTGTGTTTGTTTTGAATGGTTCCCCACCATTCGGCGCCTTAACGTCTGGTTTACCACTTGCAGGGAGTAAGTCTATCTCACTTGTACTACTTTTCTCATTTCTTCTCTCTTCTTTCGCTGGTAGTGAGCCTAACTTACTCTGTACGGTACTTTGTTGAAAATCGAATTTTCTTGAGGCAGAGAGTGGATCCCCTCCACTCTGTTTGCTTGTAGTGGTGACCGATTCTCCTACTCTAACGTCTGCTGGGAGTGAGTCCCCCTCACTCTGGTTATACACTTCTTTTATCGAAAAATCTGACGGCAGCTTCGTACTTTTTCTTAAGCCTGAGTTGTCCACGTTGGAATTGGTGGTTGGGAGGGGGGAGCAGGATTCTTCTGTCCCCCCGCTCGTTCGTTTCCCAGAGCCAGTTGATATTGTCTTATCAGCACACAGTTAGGACAATTTGCGAACACCGCACCTTGCGTTCCGCAAACTTGACATCTCTGTTTTAAAGGACAACGATTAGCGTAATGTCCTTGTCCTTGACACATGTGACAGACGCGAAACTGACATTCTGACGCTTTGTGTCCGACTCCTTGGCAATGGAAACATGCTCCCACAAAACCTACTTCGTTTGTAGAATTCGCTGGTGGATTATTATGAACTTGTGATAGACTTTGCCCTTTGTTTAGGGGCGTAGAAGTTGCTCTTGCTACCATCGATGCATAAGCTGGAGGTGGAGGCGCTGGACTTGCAGATTGTATCGCTGGTACATTAATTTGTTTTCCTTCGTTGATTGGCGCTGGTGTTTTAATTGCAGCTACTTGTTCGCTTTTTCCCTTCACCTTCTTTTTGCCTTTTTTTTTTGTTTTACCCTCCTTTGTCGCTTTGATGCTGGACTGTCCGCTTGAACTTGAATCAGTTTCATCTTTTGCTTTTATAGCTTCAATTTTAACATTTTTCCGTTCTACAATTGCAGCAGCGGCAGGAAACTTCATCTTATCTTTCGAGGGTGGTGGGGTATAACGCTGGTCGGCATCCTTTGCTTTTTCAAATTCTCGTAGAATTCTTTCCATTGTAGGTAGGGAATTGGCCTTGGAATTAACTAACATACGCCGGTACTCTGGAGTTAGTCCATTGTAAGCAATTCTGTATTGCAAGTCGCGAGGAAGACGTTTCTTGAGATGTCCCATTATTATTTTGAGATTCGTCAAGTAAGTCGTTATTCTTTCCCCTTTGGCTTGGGTACGGCTCCTCAGTTCCTCCATAATCTCTAAATCGTCAGTGACACTGGAAAATTCGTGTTGAAATGCTTCTCGAAATTCTTCCCAATTTAAAATTTCATTGCGAATCGTGCGGTACCAACTGCTAGCACTTTGATGTAATACGCTGGGTATTGCTCTCAACAGTTCTTCATCTGTGATCTCTGTGGATAGTTGACAATCTTCGATCCTGTTTAAAAATTCCTCTGGGTCTTGTTTTCCGTTGCCAGAAAATTTTATTTCCCAATCCTTTAAATTTTTTATTATTTTGGATCGCCTATTCAACGCTGTAACTCTATCTCGATGTTGACTGTTGTTGTATTGTACTTCTGATTCCGCATCTTGTTCATACGACGACGAAAATGCGTAAGGAGAATTTTTCCCCTCCTTCGGTATCGCTGGTACTCCCACTCTTTCCTTTTCTCGTACCTTTCCGTCCGGTTTGAACGAGTGCCTTGTCTCGTGATTTTCTGACTTGACGTGGCGCTGGTACTCCCCACTCCTTCGCTGTCCAGAACCCGCATACGAATTTTGATACTGACAATTCGAGTTTCTGGTGGAAATTTCGTTAACAATATTATTTTCTGCTAAACGTTGTTCATTTTTCCACTCTAGGTAACGGTAGTAGTCCGGATCTTCGAGCAAGTGACTAAATTGTTGTAATTTAGCCATTTTTGGAGCAATGGTTGAGGATATTCTCGGAATTGCTGGAGTTGTCGTATGGATTATCGCGCTGGTAAATTGGGGTATTGTTGAAGTAATTGATGTCGTAACAATGCTTGTCGATATCATATTAGGGGTGGAAGTTGTCATCGATGAGGAACTAGAACGACTAGAAACATGGTGGCTTTTTTTAACTTCAGATGAAAAATTTGGTATTACCGTAATATTACTTTCGATTCCCGCACTAGTATCAAATTGTTGTTCTTGTTGTTCACCGAATTCTGTTGTTTTCCGCCCGCCCTCATTTTCTTTACGCAGGGTCACGTTGGAAGTGAGTTCTTCGCGTATCGCTGGGAATGCTTCACAAACAAACATCGTTTGTGAATCAGCAGCATCATATACTGCGTCCCAAGGAATATCGGTATCTTCAGGTAACTCTAGTTTCATTTCCGCGCGAAATAAACGTTCGCGCAATACTTGAAGAGTACCGTCGACGCTTGCATTGTGTCTATCTAAACTTCGAATAATTTGCCCCGGAAGCAATGCACGAATTACACTCCAAGCTGATTCAGCTTGATCAAAACTAAATAAATTCAAAACACGCTCGGTATAATTTTCCATTTTGAATTTTAAATAATAAAATTGTTCAATAAATAACACTTCTAAAAATAAAATCCGAAATTAAACTTTAACGAATTTAATTATAGGGAAATTGTGAATGATGGAATTTTCCGTTTATTGCGCTTGCGCACTGGTCGTCTTCTTCGTGAAATAAAAATGTCTACCGGAAGTACGCTGGGAAAAGTTTAATTGTATGATTCACCAAATTTTCCTTAATATTTCTTTGCAAAAAGTGTGAATAATAATTTGGTAATTCACACGGCAAAAAAAAATTAATATTAAATAAATCCTTATTTATTCTGGATTATCATTAGTTTGTAATTGAACAATAATAAATTTCCAAATTTATTCACAAGGGGAACACGTGCACGTTTCAGAATTTATTCTTGTACATAATCAATTTCAAATACACAAAAAAAATCAATTATCACATAAAATACACATAAATATCAATTCAAATATTATCAATTATAAATAACTATAATTAATCAAAAAAAAAGAATATTCAGCTTACTGTCTCAGTGGTAGAAAAAAAACGCTAGTGGGCCCCACGTTGGGCGCCAATTTATTGTGACCCAATAAATTGGAAATGCAAATAATATTATACTTTCACTAATTATCGAATTATGAATGGGCCTGAATTTAAAAAAATTCAACTTGATAGAACTATTAAGTTACTAGCAAACTACTCTTACTATCAAGTACAATGATGACGCTTAAATTTGCTTAATTTTAAATTATCAACTGTAAATTAGTCTACTCAAATTTTATAAACAATAATGCTCAGTTGAGCGCCAGTTATTTTAATTTTATAAGTTACTTAAAATAACAAAAGTAATTTTCTTTTAATCTTCCAAATACTAATTTTGAGACTCGATTGAAAAAAAGGGGGGAGGAGGCGGTGGGTTGAATTTCACTGAGACTAGTAATTCAAAATAACGTTTTCAATTTATTAAATCAATAGAAAAATAACCATTCGACTTACCGATTAATTCGGTTAAATGATAATGTCGGCGACAATCAATAATAACGACTCCTTTACAATGTTTCAAATCAGTCGTACAGTTCCCAAAAATGGTCTCTCACTTTGGAAAATTGTCGTCACACCACTCTTTCACACTTGCCTTTAACACCGGCGATTCAACTTATTTTCAATTAAACTTCTACAGTCTTACACAAATAGCGTTTCTCGTATATAAACTTAACAGTTCTCTTCGATTTAAAGTAATCATTATACGCAACTAATCCAATCACATCAAGAAAACCTTTATCTCTTTTCACACTCAGAACTTTTCTCGGTCTGTCGCCATGTGCTCTCTGTGTAAAAACCGGCGTCTATTGCCTGGTAGCGCGCGCTAACCTTCTTTTTCTCTCACTCACACGTGCTTTCTCTCCTTCTCTCCGTCACTCCCACGGTACAGTGAACTACTTATGAACCGATTACTACGCCACCAAGAAATAGTCCGTCCAAAACAAAGCTTAATTTGTCGAGAATAATCATTGTACGAGAAAATATTACAATAAAAATTCGTAAATAATAAATGATAATAACAAAATAACAAATTATTAATTATAATAATTTTGATACCAAAATAATAAGTTTAATTAATTCTAATTATGAGAACGTAGTCTCAGGTGCGTAATTAGGGAGAAAAGTATAGTGACAAATAAAATAAAATAAACTTGTTTTTGTGGCAATCCACATTGTCACAATATATACAGTGGTTTTTCGAGAAATTGAGAGTTTTATGTTCATAAATATAGTTTTTGGGTGTATTCGGGTGAGATTATGTGAAAACAGTTAAACTTACTTTTATTTCTTTGGAAAAATTTTGATTTTTAGCGTTATTTTGGGATTTTTGAGTTTTTTTGACCATTTAAGAACCTATAACTCCGAAATTTAAGTTTTTATCAAAAAATGTTGTCGAGAAAAGTTGTTTGTATTTTCCTAACCTAAAATAATATAAAGTTAAAAATTTGAAAATTTGAAAAAATTGAGTTTTCAAAATTTTGAAAGTACTGTAGTTTTAGTATTTTTTAACGAAAATGGCTGGTTAACGAACTTGGCCTTCATTTTTTCACTAACTTTAAGTGCGTTAAATTTAAAAACGATCGGATAAGTTTTTCAAAAGTTATCATGGGAACAACATTTTGTGTCTACAGACAGACAGACACCATCGCCAAACCATGTTTTTTGGGTTCAGGGGACTCCAAAACGTAAAGATTTCATAAAATTAGCAAAAGTCAAAATTTGCATAAAACTAATACCTTCTTACATGATGAGAATGTAATAAAAATTACTTTTTTTGAAAATAACTCGAAAAGTATAGGGTTTGGCGAATTGGTGTCTACAGCAAAGCTGTAGCTGAGAATAAGACGAGAAAAAAAGTCTCTAGTAGCAAGTTTCCATATGAAATAGATTCGGAGATAATTGAGTCAGAATATCGATTTTTTGCCAAAAAAATAATAAAAAATCTGTCCGCGCAAGCGCGGACACATTCTCATCCGCGCTTCGCCCGGAGGCTCGCTTCGCTCGCAAGTTTCAGCGCGCCTCGGGGCGCGCGAATATTGATCGTCGCGCTCCGTGTGATGTTGCGCGCAAATGGCTCGCTTCGCTCGCGATGGTCTGCGACTGTTGTGCATCATTTGTGTTCTTGTTATTATTTCCTGCTATATGTTTAATAAAACATTTTTACATTCTCATCACATGAGAAAGTATTAGTTTTGGTCGAAAATTGACTTTTGCTAATTTTATGAAATCTTTACGTTTTGGGGTCCCCTGAACCCGAAAAACATGGTCCGGCGATGGTGTCTGTCTGTTCGTCTGTCTGTTCGTCTGTCTGTCTGTCTGTCTGTCTGTCTGTCTGTAGACACAAAATGTTGTTCCCATGATAACTTTTGAAAAACTTATCGAATTGTTTTTAAATTTAACACACTTAAAGTTGTTGTAAAAATAAAGGCTAAGTTCGTTAACCAGCTATTTTTGTTAAAAAATACAAAAACTGCTGTACTTTCAAAATTTGGAAAATTCAATTTTTTCAAATTTTCAAATTTTTATTTACATATTACTACAGCTTAGGAAAATACAAACAACTTTTCTCTACAACTTTTTTTGTCAAAAAGTCAAAATTCAGAGTTATAAGCTTTTAAATAGTCAAAAAAACTCAAAAATCCCAAAATAACGCAAAAAAACAACATTTTTTCAAAAAATTAAAAGTAAGTTCAATGATTTTCACATAATCACACCCAAATACACCCAAAAATCATATTTACAGACATAAAACTCTCAATTTCTCGAAAAACCACTGTATATATATATATATTTTATTATTTTTTTGGCAAAAAATCGATATTCCGACTCAATTATCTCCGAATCTATTCCATATGGAACCTTGCTACTGGAGACTTTTTTTCTCGTCTCATCCTCAGCTACAACTTTGCTGTAGACACCATTTCGCCAAACCCTATACTTTTCGAGTTATTTTGAAAAGAAGTAATTTTTATTACATTCTCATCACATGAGAAAGTATTAGGTAGTTTTGGTCGAAAATTGACTTTTGCTAATTTTATGAAATCTTTACGTTTTGGGGTCCCCTGAACCCGAAAAACATGGTCCGGCGATGGTGTCTGTCTGTTCGTCTGTCTGTCTGTCTGTCTGTCTGTCTGTCTGTCTGTCTGTCTGTCTGTCTGTCTGTCTGTCTGTCTGTCCGTCTGTCTGTAGACACAAAATGTTGTTCCCATGATAACTTTTGAAAAACTTATCGAATTGTTTTTAAATTTAACACACTTAAAGTTGTTGTAAAAATGAAGGCTAAGTTCGTTAACCAGCTATTTTTGTTAAAAAATACAAAAACTGCTGTACTTTCAAAATTTGGAAAATTCAATTTTTTCAAATTTTCAAATTTTTATTTACATATTACTACAGCTTAGGAAAATACAAACAACTTTTCTTTACAACTTTTTTTGTCAAAAAGTCAAATTTCAGAGTTATAAGCTTTTAAATGGTCAAAAAAACTCAAAAATCCCAAAATAACGCAAAAAAAACAACATTTTTTCAAAAAATTAAAAGTAAGTTCAATGATTTTCACATAATCACACCCAAATACACCCAAAAATCATATTTACAGACATAAAACTCTCAATTTCTCGAAAAACCACTGTATATATATATATATATATTTTATTATTTTTTTGGCAAAAAATCGATATTCCGACTCAATTATCTCCGAATCTATTCAATATGGAACCTTGCTACTAGAGACTTTTTTTCTCGTCTCATCCTCAGCTACAACTTTGCTGTAGACACCATTTCGCCAAACCCTATACTTTTCGAGTTATTTTGAAAAGAAGTAATTTTTATTACATTCTCATCACATGAGAAAGTATTAGTTTTGGTCGAAAATTGACTTTTGCTAATTTTATGAAATCTTTACGTTTTGGGGTCCCCTGAACCCGAAAAACATGGTCCGGCGATGGTGTCTGTCTGTTCGTCTGTCTGTCTGTCTGTCTGTCTGTCTGTCTGTCTGTCTGTCTGTCTGTCTGTCTGTCTGTCTGTCCGTCTGTCTGTAGACACAAAATGTTGTTCCCATGATAACTTTTGAAAAACTTATCGAATTGTTTTTAAATTTAACACACTTAAAGTTGTTGTAAAAATGAAGGCTAAGTTCGTTAACCAGCTATTTTTGTTAAAAAATACAAAAACTGCTGTACTTTCAAAATTTGGAAAATTCAATTTTTTCAAATTTTCAAATTTTTATTTACATATTACTACAGCTTAGGAAAATACAAACAACTTTTCTTTACAACTTTTTTTGTCAAAAAGTCAAATTTCAGAGTTATAAGCTTTTAAATGGTCAAAAAAACTCAAAAATCCCAAAATAACGCAAAAAAACAACATTTTTTCAAAAAATTAAAAGTAAGTTCAATGATTTTCACATAATCACACCCAAATACACCCAAAAATCATATTTACAGACATAAAACTCTCAATTTCTCGAAAAACCACTGTATATATATATATATATATTTTATTATTTTTTTGGCAAAAAATCGATATTCCGACTCAATTATCTCCGAATCTATTCAATATGGAACCTTGCTACTAGAGACTTTTTTTCTCGTCTCATCCTCAGCTACAACTTTGCTGTAGACACCATTTCGCCAAACCCTATACTTTTCGAGTTATTTTGAAAAGAAGTAATTTTTATTACATTCTCATCACATGAGAAAGTATTAGTTTTGGTCGAAAATTGACTTTTGCTAATTTTATGAAATCTTTACGTTTTGGGGTCCCCTGAACCCGAAAAACATGGTCCGGCGATGGTGTCTGTCTGTCTGTCTGTCTGTCTGTCTGTCTGTCCGTCTGTCTGTAGACACAAAATGTTGTTCGCATGATAACTTTTGAAAAACTTATCGAATTGGTTTTAAATTTCACACACTTAAAGTTGTTGTAAAAATGAAGGCTAAGTTCGTTAACCAGCTATTTTTGTTAAAAAATACAAAAACTGCTGTACTTTCAAAATTTGGAAAACTCAATTTTTTCAAATTTTCAAATTTTTTTCTTAAAGTTACTACGACTTTAAGGATTACATTCTCATCACATGTTCTTCTTTGCTGATGATTGCGAGATTAAGTGGATTAAAATGTATATTTTTGGTAGAGATGTGCAAAAAGCTCGAAATGTCGATCCGAGCCAAGCCGAAATTTTCTCGAGCCGAGCCAAGCCGGCTCGATGTATCAAGTACTCGACATTTTCGAGTACTTGAGGGACTTCAAGTACTCGAACAATTCGAGTACTCATGTAAATTCGAGGACTTGATTAAATTTGAGCACTAGAGTGAATTCAAGTACTCGAAACTATTCGAGCTTTTTACACAGCTCGGCTCAGCTCGAACTGATTAGGCCCGGCTCGGCTCAAAAAATGAAATTCTCGATCAAGCTTCGAGCTTCAAGCTTTTTGCACAACTCTAATTTTTGGTCTCGATGATTAAAATTGTGAAGTTATTTTTAATTATACTAACTCTCTTAGCAGAAACATGATTTGCAGAAGCAGCTAAAATATTTTTAAACTATTTTTATCAAGTTGTTGATAACAACGGATTTTTATAAAAGTTATAACATTTCACAAAATCAATAACAAATTTTTAAACACAGTTAAGGGAGCGTTCACAAATGAAGTCACGCAATTTTTCGGGATTTTAGACCCCTCCTTCCCTGTCACGCAATTTCATGCAATTTCACATGCAAAAATACAGTAGAGTATATAGTAAAGACCCCCATGCCCCCAAAAACGTAACATCATTTGTGAACGCTCCCTAAGCTGACTGACCCAAAAACTTAAAAAAAAAAAAAAAAAAAATTGTTTCTGACGAAAATAGCTGGTTAACGAACTTAGCCTTCATTTTTACACCAAGTTTAAGTGTGTTAAATTTAAAAACGATCGGATAAGTTTTTCAAGAGTTATCGTGGGAACAACATATTACATATTACCCATACATATCCATTAGTCATAAAAGCAATTATTATTTTCGTATGAAATAAAGTTTAAAATTAACACTTTTTAAGCAGATATATTTGTGTCCTATTGTGCATTGGACTTTATTGACATTTTTAAGTGTATAACTAAGAATATTTAC